AAAAAAAAAAAAAAAAAAAGGCTGAAAAAGACAAACTAAAAAAATAAAGAAATAAATAGGCAGAAATTAATGTAAACTGTCTGAAATTTTTAATGATTTCTCATTGACAGCTGGCACAACCGTTGACAATACAGTCATTAAATATAGGTGACCTACAGAGTATTCCATTAGGGCATCCAGTCTGGAATGCTCAAATGGAATTACATTCCTAAAGATTTAAAAAATAAGAGTTCTTATAATATTACTATAGGTTCTTCTGCCCACCTCATTTACACTTCTTCTTAAAGAGGTTTTTTATTTTTGATGGCTTTTTATTTTTTTCACCATTCTGGTAGAGGTCCTGTGGGATGCTGCTTATCCTAGGGACAGAAGCAGCTTCATGGCTGGGTTTACTATCACTGCCGGTCGAAGAACATGAGGTGTGACGAGGCTTTGGGACTGGGATCCCAGTTGAAAGCTGGTTCATGCTGCAAGACTTCTCCAGGATTCCATTATAAACTTTGCTTGCAGGACTAAAGATCATGCTCTTAGTTTCTGCCATGCCTACACAGTCAGGAGAACCCCTAGAAATATCTGCAGTTAGAGAAGAGGAGTCTCCCATAGATGATTCCTCAAGTAAGAATTCTTCTGGTGATACTTTCTGAGGAGAAATTGTCTGGTACATCTCAAGACTTGCTGGAGGAGACTGTTTTCTTCCAATGGATGAATTTAAGGAGTCACATTCCGAACCTGTTTCCTGTACTTCCCTGAGTCAGAGCAGAAAGAAGAGAAAATATAATGAAGCTACAATTTCCTTCATACAGTTAAAAAGGTAATTAATTTAGAATCGATAACATTAGTCAAAAGCACCACCCACACTTTTTCTTAGTAGTAAATTAAACAAAAAAAAAACTTAAGTTAAACATTTTATGTTACAACTTGCATTACATCATTTTATTATCTAAACTTAAGGGAATTAGTTTGTGCAATCTTGCTTTTGTGGGCAGCAGCATCTGCCCAGAATCAGTCATTTGTATCTCACTTCAAAGAACAAAATCTATCTTTCTGGCACGTGAAGTCAGAAAAGTTACGAAATGAAAGAAGGAGATTTAAGCCTATCATACATGAAAAGTTTCTTCAGGACAAGTGTCCCTACCTTTCAACAAGCTCATTTGCTCCTTCCAAAAGGAATTTAACCTTTTCCTATGAGGCCATGTAACAAGAGTAGGTACACGCTCAACATGCTGTAAGAATTGTGTTACCATCCATCTCCTCTTCGCCCAGTAGCTGACATTGCTTTTGATCCTAGTTTCAGATGTAAAAGCCAGTAACATATTGTAATGGAGAATCAGGGTTAGTTCAGTGCACCCTGGATTGTAACATTACTTTACTGTACATGACATGCTAGCTATTTACATACACATACCAGACAAGAACTCTCTGCTCCATGTAGACTATATTAATTTATATTATCCTATAGATTACTTTAACTTGTGGCTTGGTTTAACCTCTAATTCTAAACTGTTAGTCTCAATAATCCTATCAAGAGTTCCAAGTGCTGTTTGCTAATCTCCGTACCATTGTTTATCAGCAGAGAAGTAAATGGCTTCTTCCTCCTCTTCAGTTCGATAGAGAGCTGGGCAGCTCGACACAGAAAGGATGTCAGGGTCAGGGGACTGCAAAGCGTGCTGAGACTGTGGAGATGATGGCACAACACTGCGTCTTGATCTACACAAGCTACTGCTTCTTGCCAGTGTGCTGGAAGGTTTTACAATGGACCCTGAGGCAGAGAAAAAGCAAACCAAACCCTCCAAGTGACATTGATGTTAACAGTATCTACTCTGAAGACTAAGTAGCAGATCTCTGCTTCAGTGACAGTGACTTTTAAACAACTTTGACATCGCTTGACAGATTCAGAGGAAGAAAGACTGGCACACCTCATACATTCTACAGTTAGATGAAGCAGCTAATCAAGATGCAACTGCAGAGATTTTGTGCCTGACCAAGTACACCAAAGCTCTGGTTCACTCTGCTCTTTTGAGAACAAAAAGAAAGATTCTACTGAAACTCCCAACCCTTCGTAAACTAAAAATAGCAGTGCTGAAATTAGTATGTTACACAATGACCTGTATTTTAATTGTGTGGTGATTTGCAGGTTAGAATAAAACGTAAAAGTTTTGCAATGTAGGTATGACTAACCAAACAGCCAACTGATACACACTACAGTAGTTGAAAAGTAGGTTAGACAGAGAAATTTCATTTATGTAACATGACAGAAAATACATCATCCAACCTCATTATAAGCTCAAGACCTTCCTCTTAGATAACATTGTCTCTTGCCAGGCTAACTATAAATTTCCAGAAGCAAAACCACTAAGAATCAGTGGGGACAGCCTCACAAGACCTCATCAGCAAAGTACCCAACAGGAAGTGATAAATCCAATTCCTCCTTCAAAAGATTATTAGGCAGCAATACTTGTACAGAAATAAATCTACAGACCTGTTTTCAGGCTAGCTGCTACAAGTCTCAGGATGCTTCATACCCGTCCTCAAACTGTCCCACAGAATGCATCACTGCTTATGTAAGATATATCAGACCCTTACTGGTGCTCAAAATTGTTTAACAAACACAACATGCTAAAAATCCTTTCAATTTTTTTTCATAGACAAGGATGTCTAGCCTGATAAAATACATTTTATTTTCTGCAATGCCAGTTTATCATCATGTAAGTTACAGTTTCCCTTCCTGGAATCTCAGAAAAGGACAAGTTGTCCACTCTCTTAGGACAGGAAATCAAAACTTTCACTAAACAGTAAGTATCTGCACCTTTACCGATGTATAGATTTATTTCCACTCCTGAGAAAGAAAGAAAGGTTTGCACGTCTCAACATGAGTGTTGCCATGTAACTCCAACTTCTAATTTTACTTTTGAGGAATTCCCTACTGATCTTAAAAGCATGTTGGGAGCTCAAAAATCATCTTGTGTCATTACAAAAAAAAATTCCTCAAAGAGAAAAGGTGGACTGAGACAGGAGAGTAAGAATCACTTTAGGAAATTTGTGCTACAGGTCCAGGTAAATCAGATGCCATCCTACTTCCTGGTATTACAAAAAAAGAAACAAAACCAAAAAAAACACCCCAAGGAAAAAAAAAAAAACAAAACAAAACCAAGATTGCACCATCAGTGACTTTTGAGAGAAGTAACAAGCATTTTGATTCTTTGTAGGTGTGTATATACACACGAATATGAAGAATTCAGCTGTGACAACTTAACATGTAGAATTTTCCAGTCCAAATGAAACTCAGTAAATCAAGGAACCAGCTGAATCCTACTCTGCCAATGGAAAAGTAGAAGTTCCACTATCACCTTCCCACTGTAAGGACTTTTTAAGGACTTTTTTCCAATGTCAGACACTATTTCTTAATCCATTTTTGTTCTTCAGCTTGAGATTGATCAAACTCTATTACTTGACACCACATTAGTCTACCAATGCAATTGCTCTGGCACAAAGAAGCCTGTCCAACAAGACTTCAAATTTTGTCAGTCTTATAAGTCCAAAGGATGCTGGGGCAAGGCAATAGCCCAATCCACTTTAGATCCAGTGACTGAAATAGCCCCTTTCTTAAGTGACCTCCTGTACAATGAATTTTGCCTGAAAAAGACCAAGACCGGTAATTTTGCTTCTGTCCTTCGTCATGTGCACTTATTTTTGTTTAAATGATGGAAATAATTCAGCAGTTACTGAACTAACCTACAATAATTTGACTTCTCAATGCTAGTTTCAGTAACAGATCATTTAGCATATTTTCGTCTCCTTTCCCACTCCCAAGTGTTTCCATGTTTTATTTACCAAAAAGAAATTTTAAAAGCTAGTTAAGTAAGGACAAGCTACTTCCTTCATATGATAATTTTGACAACACCACGTTCTTGTGCCTTACCAAAATTCAGGAAGGAAAAAAAAACCAGAAAAAAAAGTATCTGTAGTGTTACTAAGGTTGAGATTACTATTATCACTGAGAAAGAAATACTTGCAAATTAACTGATCTTTAGCAAAAAAAAAAAAAAATTAAACCATAATTGCAAAAGCATACAGTAAAGTTTCAGCTAAGTATGCTCTTACAAACAGTACAGTCCTTTTCTAATTGTAGTTCCTTTGAATCAACAGCACTCTCTTCTCTGGCTTCACTTCCAAGCAAGAGCTAAATGAGAAGAGTGACTAAAAAAATCCACCATCTGAAGTCTTTTACACATATCCAAGTGCTGTCATTGTAGACCATTTGGAAAATCATGACAATAAATGGAGCTCTTAATTTTGAAATCAGACCACAGGCTCCCCTGTATAGAACTGGAAGCTTAACTCTAGGCATCCGTATTTTATTTGGTCTCCAATAAATTTGTTACTAGGGTTTAAATCAAAGTATTTGCACTGAAGACAGCTAGAGTAACACCATTCCTCAGAAGTGATCAGAACTTGCAGTTAGTAGTGTTGCAAGAGGATTAATGAACTTTTCAGTGTGCTCTGCAGAAAAAAAGGTTGGTACATTTAGAAGGAAAACAAGTGCCCAAGACACATTAAGTGAAGCCAGCAAAAGGGCAATCTTATGCTATTTTAAAATACAATTTGCATTTCTTCTGAGAATCCTAGCCCTGGAAAAAAAATATACCCACATTGACAGTTTTCTTTCCTACTCATTCATCAGCTTAAAACAGCTTGTTTGAATAGCTGCATGGGGGCTCATCTTTTTGATTTGCCTCTAGAGTCCAGTTAATCACAAGCTCCACCAAACAGGCTCTTGTTCTCATGACTCATGATATCAGGGTGGTCTGAATCCCCAGCGTGTATCTTCTGATCATAGTTTAACCAAAGCTGGAGCTCTTTCCCTCCAGAATTTGGTCTCTCTGATGGACACTCAAACAACCCACTGTATCCAAACACAAACATTCTGCCTGAAAGCTTCCCTTGAACAACAACAGGATTTTGTTCCAACCACTAAAGAATGTGCGCAAGGCTATGTAGCATGGGGCCCCCCCAAAGGATGTGATCTTCCTCAAAGCTTGAGGAACCCTGGACTACATCCCTTCCATCTGATAGAATAAATGAGCTAACAGAAACTCAGCATTATTCATTACAAACTTTTCTCTAAGTAGCAATCCAAGGTTGACAAGCACTTTAAAAACCTTAGCTGAATTTTCCCGACTCCTACTGAAACAAAATAAAGGCTTTTTCTTCATGTTATCTTTATTGCAAAACCCAAATTTTCATTTATGTAAGTCCACTAGATCTAATATCTGAAATGCTACGAAGAATTTTGGTCCTTTTGACTTGGACCTAATCCTGCTTGATTTCTTCTACTCTTCTCCCACCTGACTTGAAAATGCCATGTCCCCACAATTTTTCCCCTTTCTTTTTACTGAGCTCATCACTTACCATGAAACTGTGAAACTATTGGAGGAGTGTCTTCATCTAAGTCATCGACTCCCCCTGCAATTGGGTAGGGAGGAATGGAAACTCGAGGCATAACTACCCAGCTGTGATCAGAGTAGAGAGAGGAGGTCAAACTTGGTAGCCCAGAATTGTGTGCAATTTGAAACCCACAAATCTTCTCAATCTGTTGCCATCGATAAAGACGCTCTCGCAAACACGTCGTCAACTCAGAGAGAGCTTTCCTGAAGAAAGGCACATATTAAAATTATATACACTGTTCTTATTGATAAAGCAAAGCAACATATTCATTCCAGCATACCAGAAGATCCATTACATCTGTTGAATTATTCACATTTTAGTATTTTTTAAATTGCTTTTCTAAAGTGCAAAACCACTAAGACATTCTCTCAAAAATGCCATTGTTCCAGGAATGGAATATGAATATAAGAATATGCATCCTGTCCTGATAACCCTCTTACTTTGCTTCGAGAATTTTATGGTCCACTTCATCCAGGGAGGAGCTGTGTGCAACATGTAATGTTCCAAATACAGTGCTTCTCTTCTTTTTTATCTTTTCTGCCTAAAAAGCAAAGTAAAGAGAAATGCATAAAACTAGTAGCATACTTAACAGATGACAAAACACTAGTGATACTGACAGGTAGCAAACAATTCAAAGAAAAAAGCACAAGTGTTTTACTGCTTTGTGTTTACCTTTTTCATATCTCTAGCAACAAATCAGAAAAATCTTTAAGTAGCTGAAGAATCATTTATTACCTCATCTTTAGCAATTGCTAATTGCATTTCTGCATGCTGTCTTTTGATATTGTAATATTGTACTTCGACTTCATGTGTTAACTGAAGCCACTTCTGCAAAGCTTCAGGAACAGACCAATTACTTCTCAACTCAAACTCCTTCTCAGCCTTTTTCAAAGCCATACGAACCTAGCAATCAAGAAGAAATAAAAGTGTCACCAAAAGAACTAACAGGTGAATTACAAGCACCTACTTTTTACCCCACAGCAACATACCAAAGCTTGACAGTTTTGGTGTGTGCCAGTTGTTGTCAGGTATGCAGATCTGGCATCTCTGAAATCCAGCATATGACCTTCCACATTTTTTCCAATAATATATCATTCCTAATTCAAAGTTCAAATATTTTTCTAAGATGATAATTTTTTTAGTACAATAAATCCAAATTTATTGCTGCTCAGATGAAACAAAGCTACTCTTGCTCTTCTAATAACAAGATTAAAAAAACTTTTGTATATATTTTTGTTCAGCGAATCCCAAAATATTATGATAATCTAATATACAAAGTTTACAGCTTCTAATAGTTTCAGGATTATCTTTTTAGATAATGCCATGATTGACAATCATTAAGTGCTCCCAGAATTTTTCCATTCAAATCTAGCATTTGGGGAATGCTAATTTAAACACTACTGAAGATCTAATAAAACTAGGACTGATTTAAAGTCAACACTAAATTTATAAACGGCTGGCAGATACCTGTACTAACTCTTCCTCTGCATATTTGAGCCTGCTGAGCTCACATTCCGCTCCCTCTCTTAATTCCCTCAGGCGATGAGCTTCACGTTTTGCATCATTGATCTCATCCATCATTTTGCGCTCCAGATTTTGCTTTTCAACAGCAACGTTTCTATTTTCTTCTTGTGCCTTCTCAAGCCTTCACAATTGAACAAAAAATATGAGAAAATACACAGCATATTTGTTAAAAGTTGCAGTCCTCAGGATAACAAAATGCATCCAGCAACAGGGCAAGAGGCAATGGGCACAAACCAAAGCACATGAGGTTCCGTCTGAACATCAGGAAACACTTTCACCATGAGAGTGACTGAACACTGGCACAGGTTGCCCAGAGAGGTGGTAGAGTCTCCATCCTTGGACATATTCAGAAGCCACCTGGACATGTTCCTAGGCAACCTGTTCTAGATGATCCTGCTTGAGCAGGAGGGGCCGGACAAGATGAACTCCAGAAGTCTCTTCCAACCTCAACCACTCTGTGATAATAAAGACTCTGCAAGCTTCATGAATCAGCAGCAATTACATCACACAACGTGATATCCACACCAGGCAAAATATCCAAGCTTTTAAGTGAACCATCATTAAAAGTGTAGTATCAAAATACAAGTCTCTATAGACAACTATGTTACAGGTGAAACACAAACTATAAACTCCCACACTGCTATGTATGCAATAGAAGCTAATCAGTTCAGGTCTGCTTCAATCTTAAAAGCTTAAAAAGAGAAAAAATGTCCTCATTCCCATGTATCTAACTATTTAAAATCAACTGTGGTTATATGAAAATAACAATACAATACATACTTGTAAATCTGTAGGAAAAAAGACTGAGCCTCTATTCTCTACCTTCATCCACAAGTTTGCATTGCCTGCTAAAATATCCAGGGGCAATCTCTACCCAAGAAATCAGCACCACTGAAATCACAATTTCCATGCAAAGGGAAGATGTACAAAATCCAAAGGCAGTTAATGCAAAAAAATTAAGACAGTAAAAGATCTCCATTTGTGTTTAACCTCAAAACAAAAGGACAACTTTTTTTTTTTTTTTTTTTTTTTTCTTTTAGGTTTTATACCTTTCCTGCAAGTCAAGAAGACTTTGCTCTGCTGTTTGGAGACTTTCTAAGTCCTTCATCATTTTTGTGATATGTTCTCTTGAGGTTCTGTTCTGTGTATATGCAAACCAGCAGCCTCCAAAACCAATAACTATAGAAACTGTTAATATAAAATCCTTCATCCAGTTGTGAGGGGGACCTGTGCAGAGAACAACACCATCATTAACTAGTTCATTAAGACAGACAACAGACTAAGGCCTTCCCCCCCTCTCCCGGCCTATAAGGTGACCTAATGCTAAACAGAATTCTAGCTCATTTACCTCAAACCACTTCCAACAACTACCTTCCAAATGTATTCCACAGCATTTTCCATACAAAATAAACAGCTCTGCTCTAATACAATTTACCTAATCTATACTAAAACATTCATTAGACTGAGAAAAGCTTACTAAACCCCATTACAAGTACACACTCTGTATCCTTATTTAGAGTTAAAATAGAGTTCCACAATTGCACTTTATCAGGCCAGTAGTAGGTGTAATTAGATTTGAGCAAATTCTCTCCAGCCTGCACCCTTTTGAATGCCCTATGCTGAGTTAAAAATGCACTCGGAAAAAATAAAGTACATTTTAAAATGGTAACAGCAGCACTTTTTATAAGTAAAAGTTGGATTGTCAATTTATCATATCCAAGATTCACATAACAGATCTTCATTAGTACAACTTTTATAGTCACTTGCACCTCTGTAAAGACAGTTTCTGTGAGCATTAACAATCTAATACAAAGTGCTTTTTGTTTCCCCCCTAAAATTCCACAGCTCAGATCTGGCCTGACTAGTTCAGGAACACCTGACACACACAGTACCAGAGCAGAGCTGTAACTGTGTCTGAGCGAGCATGCAGAGCACTGGTGATGTGGTATGGACATGGCTGCACATGGTAAAATGGGTCAGATGTGGGACTCCTGCATTAAATTTAACTGCACTTAAACTCAGGTATGCACAAAAGACACAGGTGTTGGATTTGCATCACCATCTCCTTTTTCCTTCTTGGGGAAGGTCATCCCCTCTCATTTCAGCATCCCAGCTTCACTGTCCAAGCTAACTGAGAAGTGAATGTAACCTTAGCTATAAACGTAATTTAAACACTCAAAAATTTAGAGGACACTTCTTGTGACACAAAAGCCAACACCCACTTTTCAAGTGAGTTTATACTAAAATTTCTACACGGTTTTACAAACAGAAATGAACCTCTGTCCTGCTCACAGCACCTAAACAACCTTTTTCAATTCTTTGCAGAGTTCCACAATGCATGCCAAGCAATCAATCAGCACATCCACAAAATTGATAAGCTATCCTATCTATACTATCAAGTGCCACAGAAAATATGCTCTGATGAATTCTTACAACCAAGAGATAAGAAAAAAACTCCAAAAAGTTACTAACGGGTGAGAGGTCCAAATAAAACAACGTCCAAGGCTTTAAGCTGAAGCTTCTGTCTATGGCTCCGGTCAATTATTTTCAAGTGGGAGATCATGAAAGCATGTTCATTTACTGCTATCCTGTTAATGACAAGACAAAATATTACCTAGTCCATAAACTATATTCAAAAGCAGTCTATGCAAAACAAAACACACCAACAGCATTTCCCACTGTTATATCAATTACAGCTATGCAATTAAGAGTGAGAAATACAATACAACAGTAATGCTATATAAACACATATCAGCATGTGGCAAAAGAAAAAAAATAGCATCATTTCACTATTATTTTCCTTCTGGAAAAAACCATTAAATAAATCCATTTATCATAGTTAAAGGTACATTTACAGACTTGTGAAACCAACTCTCAGGTCTGGTATTCGTGCTCTAGGAGTGGTATTTTACAGTTACATCATTGTATATACACATAGAACAGATCAGAAGATGTTCAACAGGAAGTTTGCAACCACACAAAATTATGTGACCTTTGATAAGAGCTTCCACAGAAAGAAATAAAACTTTTATGAAAGCTGTATTTTTAAATATGCTGGCAGAAAAAAAAAAAAATGCAGCTACCTCTTCAAAACTGCAAGGACAACTTCTCTTTTCTTGCATTTGACTGTATCTTGTTAGATTTTAGGTTCACATAGCTGTTCCTACCATACAGACTAATGCAGCAATCCAAGGGGAATTATCTGAAACTAATCTAGAAGTTATATTCACCTGGGAAGTGTTGTTCCATTGACATTGCTGTCTCTAAAATTCTTTTCATATTGGGGCAATTCAACAAAATCTGAGAGCCACTGAAGAGTGTCCTCTTGAGTCCAGTTATGAACTGAAAAAAAAATTCAATTACCTTAGGTTTTTATAAAAATCAACAGCTTAGAAGAAAAGCAGTAGAAAAGCAGGTTACAATAACCAAGAAAGTTTAGCCAAATATAATTCCAGAAAAATTAGCATGACCAAAGTGTTTCTGGCATTTTGCCTTTTTCATTACATGCTCCCCTGTGAAAGCTTAGGCAAGTTATAAATAAACAAGCATGGAACCAGCAGAAGTATTTCTTTATTAAAACTTTCACAGAACAATTTAGTCTTTTGCTTTAGTTTAAATCAGGACAGAATCTTGTGGCTTTCTTCTACTTAAACCGATTCCAGCCTCAACCCCTCCGTCCTTGCTACCCTTGCAGAACTAAACACACATCAGCTGGTGCTGTAACCATTTGAGGCACCTAGATCTTAGAACTTGTTTTGACAAGAATTTTCTTAGAGGCTTTTGCTAACTAACCACAAAATGTGAGCTGACAAGAGAAGAAGAGAGGAGACTGAAAGGAAACACCAAAAGACAGAAGAAATTTAACAGGAAAACTATTAAATCTCTCAAACATGCCCAAGTAGAATTACATGCAAAAATAGTCTAAGAAAAATTACTTAAAATATGTAGAGAATAATTAACAATTTTCCCTAATAACAGCAACACTCTACATAAACATTCACAGCTACAGATGCGCTAAGAAAATACTACCCACAGATAGTACAAAAAATAAAATAAACTTAAAAATATCATATTTCTGTCCCTTACAAACCAGCTGCTACAGTTTACAGCTTCATACTGACAAAACTGAAGGGAAATTGTTCACTCCATTTATGACTCTGTAAAAGTCTGTCTGCATATGAAAGAAACAGGGACTGTCTCCTTCTGGACAGACATGTATTCACATGAAAAACTGGGAGGTTTTTTGAACATTTCTCTATCTAGAACTACTTGCATGTGACAGTGCTGGGCAGAGATTATCACTTGGACACATTCTCAGTGGTGATTTTTAACAGTAATCCTTTAGAAAGCACTGCTGAAAGCTTGACAGGTACAGCTGCAGGCAATGGAAATTTTTATGAGTTCAAATTCATATTTCAATTCAGTGTAACTGAAATAAGGACTTCTAGGTCTCTTGTCTACACTAGCTCAGCTGCAAAATAAGCTTAAACATTTTAGATTATCATTCCAGATAGGCAGAGACAGAACACATTTCACAGACTCACAGCTTCAAGGAACAAACTCACAGTACAAACCTCTTGTTATCTATCCATATGAATGGCTACACAACCTTCCCAGTATGCTGTCCCATTTCTTTCTCTCCTTGTGAGATACAGTCTGGTATTGATTTGAAACAGATTTAGTTTTGTCATATTACTCTAAATTTTATGCAAAATGTCTGGGTTCCATTTATAAACAGGCAGTTTTCCCACTGCAAAGAATCTTTACTGTTTGGTGAATGATAAGCAATCAGATTTACAAATCAAAGTCATTTGACTGCTCATTACAAGTCCCAAAAGAGTGATAAAATCATCCAGAAAAATATCCCTAACTGCATTCTAGAATTTTGTGCACAGACTGATCTAGAATAAAAGCATTGCTTTGTTGTGACATGAGAAAAAAAAACACCAAAAATAGCCACTACACACTACAGACTATCATTGACAGTACAGAACACTTCATTTCAGAAGCCACACAATTCACTGAGTTTTTAAGTTGGGGGAAGGGTTAAAAATACCATTGAGACTTTTCACTTCTACTGCTAAAAGATTTTCGTAGACACTCTGCCAAATTCTACATAAATTTATAGGTTTCCACAATCCAGTAGTAATAGTAAACATATTATTATGAAAGAAATTGGGTACACATTTAAGTGGTTTACCATAGAGCAAATCACATCTGTTGCACTGCTTAGACTGGTGTAATATTTTCTTCATAGACTATCAAGGAAATTTTCCCAAACAAATCAGTTATATTCTGGAAAAAGCACTTTATTATTCATTATCTATCACTGTATCAGATACCTCCATTAGTATTAGTACAGAAACTGCAAAAAGAAGCAACTACAGTCTATCCTAAAGTAGAACTGAAACTTGTACTTTCCGTACTCTTATACTGTTACTCATTTATTAGAAAATAAAATCAATTACTTCTTTATTTATGCTGTATCCCTTTAATGAACCACTCAACCATTTAAGCTGGTGAATATATGAATATATACTGTCATCTCTTATTCTGGGGTGTCAAGATCTGAATCTCTTCTCACATACATATTTTGCTAGAAATTTAGTTTTATTATGTAAACTAATTCTTCATTCACAGAATTCCAGTGCCCCTAAAAGTGCCCAAGTTTTCCAGGAGGAATCAGACTCTAAACTACATTGCTCTTCCTTTCCTATTCTATCAGTGAAAACATTCAGACCCCCTCTTTTTGTTGATATCTGCCACAAGTTGGTAGGGAGTATTACCTGTCTCCAATAAGACTTCATGACATACACACGTTTGTTCTGCAACAGCATGAAGTACTGAAAAGCAAACTGGCCTTTCTCCACAAGAAACACTTACAGTCCAGTGAAACATGACACAAGGCAAGTGTGACATACACCAGGTGTACTGAAGGGCAAGCAGGCCAGCTGCAACTCATCTTGATCAGCACTGCCAATTAGAATGTGCCAACTCTCACTAATTAGCTGAGGTTGTAATTTTTCCACAGTTCAATCACTAAGAAAGAAAGCAGTACTTCAGACAGCAGAGTAGCAAGTCACAATTAGTGTAAGTTAAATGCATTTAGCATTACAGAGTAATTTTAACATCCTTCTCTCTCACACCTCTTTTCACAAAGAGACGCCTTGAGAGAGAGGATGTCAGCAACATGCTTTGGGCAAGCAGGTACAGAAGGCACAGCGTTCACAGCCCAGAGCAGCACTCAGTCTCTAGACCTGCATCAGCTATTTCACTTTAGACCAAAAAGTTTTCAGTTTTGGGGAGGGTTTCCTAATTCTTTTCAACCGTTCTACCAACATACCTGAAGGTGAAGATAGCAAAAGTAACTTTAAACCAGCCCTGTATAAAAGTCTCTCATTGTCAACCCATATTAATTAGAAAATCAGGCTATTTACCAGTTTTTTGTGTTAAATTTATCATGTTAAGTTTATCACACAAAAGGATTCAAAAACTTAGTTTTTAGGACCTTCAGCAGTGTGCAGCATTACATAACTCATCCTTAGCCAAGCCCTGCTTGCATGCATTTCCAACCTCCAGACAAAACCTAAGACAGCAAATAATTAGAGAGCAAGGCAACCACAACAGTTTATGGTATGCAGTTTAGTCCCAGCTGCTGCAAGAACACTTGTGCAGTAGTACATCAGAATACAACAGGTGATCACACATGCAAATATAGAGCTATTTTTGTATCTTTTTACCCTAATAAATAATGTACCAGACTTTAGTTCACCTCCTATTTTCAGAGAGAAAGAGAATTAAAGGCGGAAGAAAAAAGGTACACATACAAGGCAGTGAGGTTTTTTTGTATTATAGTGCAGTCTATAGGAGATACTATAAAGCTCAAATATGCCATAATGATAAAAAATAAGAAAAAAAGAAACAAGCTACTTTGTAGTAGATGTTTGTAACAACCAGGTTTTGAAAGGATTCAAATTAGTCTGACAATAGCCAAGCATCCATGAACTCCAGATTTGACCTCAGCAGCTTTTACTTCATTACAAAATCAAGTCCCAAGGGACAATGCTACATCACTAGAGGATGCAGCACCCAACCCTACTCACTGAGACAGGTCAAAGACCTACCCAGCCAAAGGCCTGCACTGATTTTACAGCCTCCTTGCTACTGAGAATAAACACCTATGCCCCACTCTTTAGACAGCAAATTCACATGACCACAGCCCATTGCAGGGCCAAAAAGAGAAGGCAGGTGCCATTGAGTGAGAGAACTCCCAAAGATCATTGTACAAAGACTGGTATTTGGACATCAAACCAAATGTTCACCTGTCCCCTTTTCCACACTCAAAACTACTACCTCTTCAAGGCTTTTGCAGAAAAAATACTGAAGATGCTCCTTCGATATTAACCTAACAGTAGCTATCAAGTGTTAGTTTTGAATAGCTGAAAGACTCTGTAGTACATGCATAAATACTGCTTAGTTAGAAGAGGAGACAGTCAAAGAATAGCATACAACAAGCACATACTGGCATTTACATTTAAGGAAGAGTAACACACAGTAACTGAAATCAAAAGACTTTCAGAGAGCAGCATCTTCTATGTTTTAAACAGCTATGATAATTCACAGTCACTCCTCTAAATAGAGAACTCTGTAGAATTAGATAATGACATTAAAAAAATTCAAAGGTCATAAAAAGCACATTCTAACTAAACTAAATTATAGTCTTGTTTTGTACCAAATGAGCCCTTTAAACTGAGTGGCAACACAGCAGCAATAGGCTGGATGCTGATTCAAGCATATGACTCCTTCCATGCAGGTAAAACCTGTAACAGCCTTGAACTTCCTTTAATTTGCACCAGCAGAGACTATGCTTTAAGGTTTCTGTACCAGGTAGGGACATCAAAAACCTGCCCAGTGCCAGAAATACTAAAAAGCAATATTCTGAAGCCCTCTTTTTTATTACCCAATTTTTAGAGCTTTGAATGCAACCAATCCTTAGTGTTACATTCAGTGTATAAAATTCTTCTCAATCAATTATTTAAAAGCAACCTCTATTTTCCTTAATCCTAAAATGAGACACAAAACAGCAATGGCATTTTTTGCTTTCTTCCCTCAAATCTTATCTGTCTTGCACCACCAACATGTTAAACAAAGAACACCTTTAAGCTATTTGACAAATATTTAAGACAAACATTCACATAAAGCAAGCTTTATGTCAAAGAATGGGCAAATTCTACTCAGCATAAACTACGCAGCAGTAGATCAAGATATTTCTGTATAAGAACAGAAACTGTCAAGAGCACTAGACTTTGTAATTCTCACACAGATACTTCAACAGATAGTGTAAATGACAGTATTAGTAATTTGAGACTTTTAAACAATCTTCCATCCTCTTGTTAATGTTGTCAAATTGCTATAAACTAGTGGCACATAAGCAACAAACAAATCAAAATTTTCTAAAACATACAGAAATGAATGGCAACATTTTCCATGTCACCTAAAATCAAATTAAAGTAGTTAATTTTCTGAGGGGCTTCATGCTTTGTAACATGAAGCAGACCACTGTTAACCACTGCTTGGGAGTGTCATTCTAAAGGTCTCCCTGTGGTGCAATTTCAGTTCTCTCAGCAGGATACACAAATAAAGCCACTATAAGCAGACACAATGAGATGAGACATTCCAAGTCTTCTGAGTCTTACTCACTTTACTCACTACATTCAAGAAAACCGGAATAAAGATAAACACAACAGATAAACTATACTTCTAGAATCATTATCATCTAAATTTTTGAAGAGTTACACATGACTTTTGAGGAGACGATAATTTTTTCTGATAATTTAGTTGAAATACTTTCAGAGAACAGGATCTTCAGCAAATAAGTATTTAAAGACTATTTGAAGAGGTGAGGCCAAAAGTTACTGGTTAAAACATGTATTTACTATATACCAAACACTTCATGCATTACCTCAGCATGCACTTAAGTGACTTCCTGCATTAGCAGAATGAACCAATGCCATAATCCTGGCTTCATTCCCCTCCTGGTCTTACTTTTGGTTGTTTGACCCATACCAAGTTTTAGATCTCTCTATGCTCACCATTAGAACATGTTGTGGTTTGGGAATGGCATTCTCAAATTTAGTAGTCCTTCGAAAAACATGTGTGTGGTTTCCCCTCCCCCTCCAACTGGAGGCACAAAAGGGCAAAGATCACAGGTTGAGATAGGAACAATTTACTGGAAACAGCAACGAGATAAGAAAATGAACACTAATAGCAATTAGATATAACAAAATAAATAGCAATACAGTAACAAAAAGTATAAAAAAAATAAAGAAAAATACTTACATGGAAAGCCCCTGACAATAAACAAATACCAGATGAGTCCATTCCCCATGTTTCTCAACCAGAATGAGCCTCTTCTCCCAGGAAGAGAGAGACTCCCATTCCCAGGCTCCCAGCAATGATGTGAGCTGGTATAGGATAACACCCTTCGCTATGCCCCCTTCTGACTACTGCTGAAAACTCATCCTGTCCTGGCCAGAACCATGACAGCACAGCACCTCTGGAATGAGGGGTGGGGTGGGGAAGGGGGAGAGGAAATTAGATATTTTTCTCCTAACGATTCTAACATTCCAGATTTCTTTTTTAATCACTATATCCTGGGACATATTTGGCAATGAACACTCTACTGTTGATTAAATGCTGTCCTTTGATATTTGGAATAGTTGGCTCAACTTACTTAATTCATTTAAATCAAAGTGAGGTAGGGCTGGAGGTGTTGGGTTGTCAGTACATTTTACTGTATCCCAAATTTAAGATTTTAAAAAATGCTTTGGACTAAATTCTAGATCTTTGTAGCTCAAATAAGTGAAAGTACATTGAATTTTCCACTTAATACTATATAAAAAATATTTTAAAACAGCTTGAAAGAAACCCTTGGGATTTATTAAATTATTAAATATGCTAATCTGGAATTCAGCACTTATACCAGTCACCTTGATAAATTAGAACCTCATGTAAGCTATCTTAGTTTACTCACAATACACAAAACACATGAAGAGGAAATTACCTCTGCCTGGACTAAATGAGTTCTTAGGTCTATGTGTGCCTATAAATAACAGTGTCAAAACAGATTCATGAAGATGTTTCAAGAGGTCATTCATTCACTACTCTATATTTGGTGGAAAAATTGTTGAATTATAACTATGTCAATACCACCATCATGTTCAGTAATACTTCTTTACCTACCTTCAGATGTTTTCCAGCGTTTCCACAGATCCTCAATGGTGATATGCTTGTCTTCTCTGTGCAGGTGACTATGTTTATTTGAGGCATCCTTGTATTGCATATCTTCTCTTAGAAACTGAAGAAAAGGGAAAAACATCATCTTAAATGCCTAAAAGACAATTTCTGAAGAGAAACTATACAGAAATCAGGTAGAGGCCTTACTGTCTCTTCCCCATGCAAGCAGCAGAGAATTTCTACATCAAAGATTCGGAAAGTAAGTTAAACACTCTTGCAAGACTTGTTTTTCACAATTATTAAATCCTAGAAAAACTGATGATGCAGTTGGTAGTATACTAAGTTTAACATTATTAGAATGGCTCAGATTTACAGTGATTACAGGAACACACCACACAGTTGTAATGTACACTTCTCCATTCTGACTTTTAACTTCCCCTCCTTGAAAATAAGACCATGTAAGATTGGAAAGTGTGCCAGTCATTTTTGGATGAGTAATGCCTGAATCCTGACATACCAGTTAAATGCAACTGCCTGAGGAGGAGAGTAAGCTGTTTACTAAGTAGTATTGAAGTCTTTTGATTAGACAACAAAAATTTGACTTCTATTCATTGAATTAAAAAACACAAATCATCTGAAGGCAAATTTTCTGCTTGCTAATCATTCCTCAGTGGTTACACTCCAAGCACAGAATCATTACATAAAGCTGCTTCATTTTCAGTAATTAACAGGAAGCCTTTTAGCAAACATTATAAAAAGGAAGATCATGCAATCATGCCATACAGAGTGGGTGGTGAGGCACTGGCACAGGTTGTGCAGAGAAGCTGTAAATGCCCTATCCCTGGCAGCATTCAAGGCCAGGCTGGATGAGGCTCTGAGCAATCTGATCTAGTGGAAGATGTCCCTGCCTACAACAGGGAAGTTGGAACTAAATGATCTTTAATGTCTCTTCCAATCCAAACCATTCCATGATTCTATGACACAATTTTATGATGGCAGTGTTGTATCAGTATTCCACAAGTTGCTGCAAACAGTTCTCCAAACACATACCCAAGAAAGGCCATGGAACTGTAAAATTAATTCTATTTTTTTATTTCATAAAGCCCTAGAAAAGTTGGAATACTGGTCGGCAAATGACCTCCCATTAACAGTGGAAATCCTTCATAAGAAATCTCTGAAAGCATTGTATGAACAGTCTCTGTGGGTGAAGACCTTAGCATTAGTATCAGAAAACTAGTATCTGGTACTAACAGTACCAGAAAACTAAGTAATCTTCCACAGTAAATAGCTTGCTTTCTTTAGTTCATGAAAGATAAAGCTGCTCCAACAAAACCAGCTACAGATAGTCATGACAGCTAAGTCAAAAAACAGCCTTTTATATGGCTGATCCTATGTCATCACCACTTCAAGTGAGGTGAGGAAGAAAGCCAAACTAATGATGCACTGCAGAAGAACTCAATTCTTAAAATTTAGTCCAGGTAAAAATTTAAGTTCAGAGCATCCTGCAAAGGCTCCATTTCTAACAAATCTAGAGATTACACTATTCAGAAACTGCAGGAGATACTGAAAAGTAGCCAATGTTAAATAATAATATCAACTCTTAATAAAAAGAAATGGAAATAGCAGAAATAGCCAAGCAAAAGCTAACACTAATTATCCCTAACTAAAATCTTTTTACTAGAATGTTAGGGAATCTCAAACTACAAATGGATTCAAGTTTCTCCTCTAACTGATGGATTCAGGACAAAATACTAGTTGCTCTCCTTAAACAAACCACAGATCCATGGTATCGAAACACTGATTGGATGTAAATCCTATTTATCTATTGTTTCAAAACTTTTTCTGATTGTCAGACATTAGCTTTGTAAAGCCTTTTGACTCCTAAAATAGCTCCATTTAGCCCATACAAACTGCATAAGCATTTTTAACTCCTCTTCACCATGAGTATAAGAATGACATAAATTGAGATATATAAACATATATGTATATATGCACACACATGCATATACAGGAGAAATATGTAAGAAATTTTTGAAATATATGAGAGCTGAAAATAGTAGCCTGTTGGGGCAAAGGCAATTACAGAACTTCTGAAAAATCATGGATCAGCAGCAGTTAAAAGGTTTAATAAGCACAAGACTGTATGTTGTAACTGTATGTAAATGCAAAAATATCTGCTGCATATTTCATTGTCCAAGTGGGAACTCTGAGTATTTCCCATATTGGCAATACTACCATGAAGCTGGTAAATTCTATAATTGTCATGCAACATGCAGCAAAAGACGGATTGTCTTGTTCATTCCCACTCCATGTTTATTAAAGGCTAAACTGAAGAGCAGGAACTAAACAATAAGACAACAAGCAAAATAATTTTCTTATCCACTAATGTCCCTCAGCCTTTCCAGATTACAGTACAGCCTTACAGATGGAACATCAGTATAGAACTGATGTTTTCCCACCTTACCCTTTCCCTCCAACCTGCAAGTATCTACTGTCAACTGACATCCCCAGTATGCCTTTCAGGAATTTGCAAAAAACATACTAGAAATGCAGCAAAAACATGTATTATATGTCCCTGTCTGTAATTATTACCTCTTTTCACATGGGGGTTAAGGTAAATGCTAATACTCACTCTTCAGCTTTCTAGTGACAGATGATGCACTGATTTGATTCCAAATGTCAGGCATGGACAGGTTTTTTTTCAAAAAAAGTGTTGTAGGGTGATCAAGTTGCTGAAGAAGGAAAGAGTATGTTCTATATACAGGGTTGAGCCAATTTTGTATCTTCTCAGCTAAAACTCGGATCACTTTCGTGTGTACAAACATGCTACCTTTACTGATAGTTGCCAGTAAAGGCTGTAAAACATTGAAGGATGAGAACTTTTGTTCAGTTACAGGTGCTGCCAAGGAAAATCTAAATTGCTGATAACAATATTACTCACACTGTTAGAATTAAAGAAGAGAAGGAAGATGCCAACTGAAAACAAGAAGCTCTTGTTTGTGAGGTGTTATCCCCCTCCCCACCCTAACACGACCAGGTCCTACAGCCCGAGTTAACACCGGGACCCAGCGCAGGCTCCCCGCTCCGCGCCTCCTCCTGCAGTTCCGCCGCGCCGCCCGCAGAGGGCGCCGCGGGCCCCGCGCCGCCCGCCGCTCGGGAAACACGGATCCATCCAGCACCTGCTTCGGACCGAAACATGGATCCATCCCAGCACCTGCTTCGGACCTAAACACGGATCCATCCCAGCACCTGCTTCGGACCGAAACACGGATCCATCCAGCACCTGCTTCGGACCGAAACACGGATCCATCCAGCACCTGCTTCGGACCGAAACACGGATCCATCCAGCACCTGCTTCGGACCGAAACACGGATCCATCCAGCACCTGCTTCGGACCGAAACACGGATCCGAACACCTGGCTGGGACCGAAACAGGGATCTGAGCACCTGCTTCGGACCGAAACACGGATCTGAGCCTGCAGCAAGGCATTTCCCAGGAGAAGGAAGGGGAGTGTGCACCTGGTTTATACCAAAACACTGGCTAGAATATTTGACTAAGGCCCTTTTTTAAAAGGGAGTGTCAGCATACAAAATGGAAAGCAGCTTGCAGTTGTTAGTAACCAGTACAGTTACTCCTCAGGGGCAGAAATAGTACATCTATGAGAACTTCTTCCAAGTGAAAAGCCCCTCTTCTGTTCTGTCCTATCCTTACTGCTCCCAGACCTTGTGAAAATAAACACAACGACTTCCTCAAAGAGGTCCTACAGTGCAAGCATTTGAAAAGAGGTCATCGTATTTCAAAGAGTAAATGCATTCACTAACGAAGAGGTATATAACAACATCAAACATCTTTCTTTTGTATAAAAGATCTTTGTTTCAAAAGTGGCCTAATATGGAAGTGTTGCTTTAAGAAAAAGAACTGAGACCTAAATTGAAGAAAGACAAAAAAATAGAACAACTCTAGTTAAAAAGAGGATTTTTCTGTTCCTTGTCATGGCAGTTAATCTCTCTTCTGTTGCCCTGGTCATTAAGTATACAAAGAAAAGGTTAGAAAAATAACTCTAAATAGGGAGGCTAAAAGAATAAGCTCTAAGAAAAACACATCTAAGTATTATCTTAGCCAACATAATTACTCAGGAAAGAGAAGTCATTTTAAGACTACAAAGTTGAAACCAAGAAAGCAGAAGATAAGTTACCTAAAACTCTGTATGAAACAAAAATAACCATTTGTCAAAGCAGCTACTTCAAAAACAAGTATGAAATTTAAAAAACACCACACCTAGACTTGAAACTAGCATTTTGATCCCAGAAGTACTGTAACAGCTGCACCTCTACAAAGACTAATATCTCAAAGTCCAAGGTTCAGCAGTGTAATAACTCCAAAGGAAACTTTCTCCTTCCTGGAGAGGACAAGACCTGTGGAGTCCTGGAGAAGTCCAAGAATCAGGTACACAACCACCTTCCTCCCTCTTCAGAAAGCCTTTAGTACCACAGCTTTCACCAAAATCCAGTCCACCTATAACCAAAGACCAACCTGAAGCAAGACCACCGAAGAAAAACAAAAACAAATTGGGGGGGGGGGGGGATTGATGATACAAGACACGCAGGGCAAAACAAGCAATTGCATACTTTCAAGAATGCCACTGGAAAAGTAAAATTAACCACACTCACTAACTGCAGCAGGAAGCACTCTCATGCTGTTTATATTTTGTTCTGGGTAAAAGCTCAAGTTTATAATTTTCAGTTTCATCAACTTAAAATAGACCCTCTAACTGACAAGTTTACTTTAAGAGCAATTAGTAACATCCCCTGGCCAGGTATTACTCTCACCCTTGAGCATCTATTCCTCAAGTAGTGTTATTTCCTTCGGGTTTATTCCTTCAAAGGGAAAACCTGCAAATGTGACAACTTCAGCCTTTTAAAACATTTCCTCACATCTATTTGCTACAAGATTTGTTGCAGCTATTGCAATGTCACACATACTGACTAAATTATGATGGTAAATGTGCTTTTAAAAGGCAACATACTATGATTCAGTTATGACTGCCTACCCTACAGAAATGGCTTTTAAAGATGCTATAAAGTAAAATAAGGGAACATATTTAATAATATTAATAATTA